TCAAGTGGCCTGGCCATTAACCCTTTGCACTCACTGTAGGGCTATTCTAAAGAGATTAATCCTATGACTTGGAGATTGGGAAGCTCAGGTGTGGGTCATCAGGAATAAGCCCTTGTGGTGTCAGTATACACGGGAAAACATTTGGGTTCACCTGCCAGAGCCTCAGGCAGTCCTCACTATTTCCCATATCCCAGCTTATAAAATTCTGACACCCCTTGACTATACCATCAGGAATCAATGGCTTAGCTTGGGTACAAACCCTAGCAACAGATCTTCTAGGAGATACAACAGATTGAATGCAGAGAAAGAATGGTCACCATAATGCCAGGGTGGGATAACACATTTCCAAGGATGCTGGATTGCCAATGAAATGCAAAACTAACTCAAATACACCAGGAATATGAGGAGGATAGCCTAGAACTATATGGTCATTCTGTCACATTAAAAGATAGTACTGGTTTGGTATTGACTTGTCATGCCACCTAGGTGTTTAGTGGGTAGCCTCAAATGGAACCCAGTGGTTGTGTGGCACAAATAATTGGCTGTGGCTTCCATGGGGGTAATTGGGCCACTACATCCTGGGTTTTCTGTGGACATAGGAGAATTCACCCCAAGGTAATAAGAATTGCCAGGGTCCCTCTCCTTGCAGATAGATGGGCATATTTTGTTTTCCACTGGTATGTTCATTTGGCCACCATATTTGTTCCATCATTGGCCTGGAGGATGGTATGACACATATAAAATCTTACTAAATTCTCCTGATGAGCCTTAAATAATAGCTGACAGAGCCTGTGTTTACTGAACACTAAAATGTCTCTATGAGAAATGCTGTCCTCCAAAATAAACTGAGCTTGGACACTGTTACTGCTCCACAAGGAGACACCTGTGACAGTATCCAAACAGAACGTTATGTATTCATACTTGATAAGTCTGCTAATGCATTGTCTTTATTAAATCACATGAAGACTAAAGTGAATGTACTGAGCAATTTGATATCCAGCCTAAGAGACTTAACACATCAATGGTTCATTCACATTATGCGGCTCTCTTTTAAAAAAACTTATTTTAAAAATCATTATCTTAATCTATGTTTCTCTTGCATGTGTCCATATTTTTGGCTGTAGTATCTGCCTCCAGTGTAGCCAGATAGCCACCAAACAATTAACCTCCATGTTAATAAAACCCAGGGCTTAGTGGCTGCTCAGGGCCCATTACACACTGGGGGCATATGACTCCTAACAGCCAGTCGTCATTAAGCAGGCATGCCCACTGTTTGACCCAAAAGCTGGACCTGGGCAATCAGAAATTCCTCACACCCTCTGCTATCTTGGAAAGTACCATTTCTGTCCACTGTAGCCACAGTGGGAGTAATTTCCCGGATGCAGCCCCGAGAGAGCAATGTGTTATTGAGCCCACATGGACAACATATAGGACTGAACCCAAGGTAAGGCCTGTGTGTAAATGTTGAAGATTCTGGCATGTTGTAGAGATGGACTTGTCTTCTGGTTGTTCAAGTATGTAACTTTTCCTGCTTATTAAAAACCACCACCTACCAACATGGATATGACCTGCCTCTTTCTCCCATCTCCCCTTGCCCTCTGCACATGGAGGCCAGTTTCAGAGTTTCATCAGGAAACCCCCAAATTTGTGAACCAATAATATTATTCTGAAACAGGGATTTTTTGTATGCTCCATTAATATGGTTAAATAATCTGAATCTCAGAGAAATTAAGTGACTTGGTCAAAGTTAAATAAATACCAGTGTCGGAATTGAAGACTGAATTCTGATTGTCTCATTTTAAATATCCTGGTCTGTAAACTTTCTTCTTGGTGTTACAGAAGCATTGAGTACATCCTGTTTTTTTAATTGGATTGGGTTTTTTTTTTTTTTGGTGTTGAGATTTGTAAGTCCTTTACAAACAATACAATTAAAAAATGAACAAAGAACCTAAATGAACATATGAAAAGATGTTCAATGTCACTAATCATCAGAGAAATGCAAATTAAAAGTGCAATGAGATATCACCTCATACCTGTCAGAATGACTCTCATCAATAAATCAATAGTCAGTATTGATGAGGTTGTGGAGAAAGGGGAACACGCATGCCCTGTTGGTGGGAATGCAGACTGGTGCAGCTTTTACAGAACTGACCCAGGGAGGGGAGGTGAACAACATACTATTACCTAAAAGACCCCTCTTTTGCTCTGAGGGTCCTCCCCCACCCCATACTAGGTTCACCTTGCCAGCCACCAGGGGAAAGATGTCTCTCAATGCCAGATATTGGTGAAAAGGAAAGGAATTATTTATTTAAAAGTTATATAGACTGAGAGTAATGACTTAATGTCTTCATTAAAATACTAAAGTCCTCTAGAATATCCACCACAGACACACACAGTCCTTTTGTCTGCCTAGTCTGGGGTACCATATCTCAGGAAAAGAAGTAGAAGTCTATGATTCAGGTTCCTGGCACTATCAGCTGTGTCACCATCATGATCTCCAGTTAATCCAAAACTATTTGGCACCTCATGGCCCATCAGCAAGAGTCCTTTCACCCCTTTTCTTCAAGGCAAAGTCTCTCCTGCTTCCTAAGCCATGTGGCCAAAGGGAGCACCCCAAAGCCGCATGGTCCTGTATCTCACCAAAGCTGAATGGTCTCAACATAGTCATGGTTTCCCCTCCCGAGTTTAAATCCCAGCGCCAGTCTTCCTCTGCTGCACCATTTCCGACTCCTCCTATAATCAGCTGCAGCTGCCAGAATTCCCATATTTGTCCAGTTTTACTGGGTTTCCATAGTAAGTCTAGGCAGGTGTGGCCCCATGGCATGAAGCCAATTGTCTTCAAGCTCTCACGCAGTTTCAGTAGTCAGGGAGAGTTGCCTCATTACATCTTGGGTAGAAGTTATTTCCATTCCCCTGATTCAATGCATGGCCACAGCTATTTAATGTATCCATGAAATTAGTTTAAAGGTTATAGGTATGTTAAATGACCATGCCAGAGGTTATCTGCAAAACTGTTGCTGTACAAAACAGCTCTCAATGGCCCTGCTCCATGTGTCCCATACCCTAGCTCAGACTACTGGGGATGAAGACATCACATATATATAGTTTTACTAATATTTCCTGGACACCCTGATTTCTGGACCCCATTACACAGCCCCTTTAAGCCCCCTGCCATTGGCTGCACCCACAGCCACTGTGGAAAGCAGTAGGAAGATACCTCAAAAAATTAAAAATGAAACTGCCTTATTTCCAGTGATTTCACTTCTAAAAATTTATCCAAACAAATCCAAAACGTGAATATGAAAGCACATATTTACTCAGATGTTCTTTGCAGCATTATTTACAATAGCCACTATTTGGGAGCACCGCAAGTATCCATTCATAGATGAGTGAAAAAAAGCAGTGGTACATTTATACAATAGAATATTACTCAGCCATAAAAAGGAGGTAAATTTTATCTTTTGTGACAGCATGGGTAGACCTAGAGAGCATTATGTTAAATGAAGTAATCCAGTCAGAGAAAAACAAGTACCATATGATTTCACTCATGTAGAATCTCAGGAACAAACAGAACTAACGAGCAAAATAGAGACAGACCCACAGAGAGAGAGCTGCTAACAGCTCTGAGTGAGGTGTCAAAGGGAGAGACTGAGCAAAAACGAAAAGAAAAGAGAAAGAATGCATGAACGCGGACAATAGGGTGGTGTAGCAAGGAGGGGTGGAGGTGGGAGAAGGTATGGTGGGATAGATGGTAATGGAAAAAGTTAAATAAAACAAAATAAAAAATTTTGAAGAAGCACATTTTGAAATAATAATTGATAGTGAATTCTAGGGTCAATCTGAAATATGACTTTAGAAAGGAGAGACCTAGGGAAATTAGATTAATTTTTAAGGGCATACCATCCTTAACTTGAGCCTTATATACCAAATATATATTTTAAAGATTGTCTTTATGTGTGCCAAAGATTTCAAACCACTAAAAGCTATTATACAGATTCTAATGTAATTGATTTGTGTGACAGAAGATTGTGATTTAATGTGCTCATATATTTGGATGGGAAGCTTTTCCTTTTGTGAATATCTTGCAAATCTCATAAAACCAACAAAGCCTGGACATCCAGAAGCTTATTTCTTGAACTCTGTGGTTCAATGAAGATGCATAGCCTATAATTATTGTTGAGACCCCCTCCAAAAGTTAAAGATATGTCTTGAATTGGTTGAATTTGACATAGATGGATACACAACAGCATGCCAAAAATGATGCCCTTTGGATCCTTTGTTTTATTTTTCTTCTTCAGTCAGGCCACACAAAGAATCATTCAGTTAGACCAAAAGCTCTTCAGAAGATTTCAGAACTGCTTAGGAAACTGCCAGAGAGGACACACCAATAATGTGAGAGACACAGGCAGAACCACACACAGCATGTGCTGGATGGACACCTTCCTTACCCCCAGAGGGCAGCATGGCCCTGGGCTATGTTCTCTGAAGTTCTAATGCTACTTGTCCAAGACCACAAGAACTTACTAACTGGAGTACCTCTTTGTTGGTCCATCATGAGTGAGACAGGAACACCAAATTTGTGAATCGGAGGTGGCTTCTTGGCTTCCCAAGTCAATAGGCAGAGCCTCCTGACAGCATGTGAACATGTTCGGGCCAACTGAGGGTGGTAGAGACTTAGGTTTTAAGCCCTTGCTAGAAGGCAAGGAAAGAGGAAGTTTTCTCAGTGCTCAGCAGGCTGCTCCTCCCCCTACTAAATTTGTAACCACACATTTCCTCCGTTAAATCAAAATTGATCATACCTATATGAATGTGTAGTACCTGAAAATTGAAAATCTCATTGAAAATAGCAATATTGATGACTATACAAGGCAATTTCATCAAATCAAGTAATGATGCGATGTGTGTGGTTAATCGTAGCTACGCAGGAAGTGGTTTTATTTAAAAGTTTTTGAGCTCACACCCAACCCCTCCTTTCTTTTTTTTTCTTCAGTACTGAAATTAAGCAGCATCCAACATAGGCCCACTCTTACGACATGTGACTTCACTGCTTTCCGTTTTTGTTGAAAGAGTCATTAGCAGTTAGAAGTTGATGGCAGTTCCAATAACCAGTATCACGAAGAAAAGGTGAGTTTTAACTTTATATTGAACACAAAATTTAAGCTTGAAAGCACTGAACAGATTATTCTAAACTTTGGTATTGACTTATAAACAATTCTATAGGAATGTAATGCTTTCACCTGTGATTGAAACATCAGTTTGTTTCCTCTGGTGTAGGAAAGAATATTCATATTTGCAGCTGTCAAAGTCTCAGCTTCTTTACTGAAATATTATACTAGGAGAACTTGCTCAGATGTTACATTAAAATATTAAAGACAAAGTAAGGTTTAGTTTTAGTTTGAAAAGTACTTTAAAAATAACTACTAGAGAAAATGTTAAAATTTGCATCTTTAAATGCTTGTTTTATAGAAATATAGACTATTTGAGATCCAGAGAACAAAAGATAAAAAAGGTATTTAATAACATTAAGAAATAACATCTGGATTGCAGTGAGAAAGACTCCCATGGTAAAGTGTATTAAATTTAGCACTGGGAACCCTTGAAAGGGTGCAGATTGCTAAATAGCTATTAAAACACAGGGACATTTAAAATGCAAAAGAAAGCTGTCCATCATGATATTTAAATATATTTTTTTCTACATTTTACTTAAGATCTAACGTGGAACAAGGGCAACTTTTATTTCATGTGCAAAATCGTGTGTTTAAAACAAAAGTCACAGCTGGCGTTATGGGAGGTTACTTCTGGGAAAAGAGGCAAATTAGAAAAATACTATTGTTATTTATGCAATTACATAATTTTCTTTCTTTGAGATTTTTTGAAGTAAAAACTCTAGAAATGAAAAGCTTTTCTTAATCATAAACTGACAATAACTTTTTATATTGCTTTCTTGCTTTTATATGTTTGTGCGCTGTAACATATGTACAGAAAATATAAAAGGATTGCTAATCACAGAGGCAAATAGATAAAATAAATCTGACTGTAGATTTTTGAAAAAATTTTAATAAAAGCTCAAGATATGATTCACTGTTCCCTAATATTATTTTTATTGTGCTGTTGGATGGGGGAAGCAATGGCCCCCACAACACCAATTTTTTGTGTTATTAAAAATGGTTACAGGGTTGATAAGTGGAAACAATTTTCTTTTCTTTTACTGTCTTCTTTTGAAAGACACATGTAAATGTATTTTGATGTGGTCAATTTAGCAGGAAATTATTAGGCATACTAATGGTCTCCATTTTAAGACCTCTTCAGTTGCCAATACTGGATCTAGCTACTTGTTAACTTAAAGTGATCATAAAAATAGAGATTAAGATTTGGTGTTCAATACATTTTTTATTGTTACAATGTAAGAAAACTCTAGTAATATGTATTTGCTTTGATATACCGATTAGCTTTATAATTTGTTGCATTACCTCAACAATGGAAAGCACTATTTAAATCTGTTTCAATATTGTGGTTCTGAGCCTCTGTATCTACAGAAGCTATGTAATTCAGATAGTTTGCATTGATATGTTATTACTTTATTGCATTTTATTATAAAAGAGCATCACATGAATAAGTTTATGCAGTACTCACACATTAGAAAAAAATAATATCCACATAAGCATTTGGTACTGAAAAAAGCAGTCTAGTATAGTTTTTTTAAACTATGTAATATTTTAAAAGCCAAATTCTCTGTAAAACAATTGTTTCTTGCAGAAACAGCTAAATTAACATAAAAACTGTATGGAATACATGCAAAATTAAGACTTCATTAAACAGATTAATATGGATTTATAAAGAACAACTAGTGGGGCTTATTGACACATAAAATAAGCTATGCTCAGAATTTCTTGGAAAAACAGTAATGCATTCATTTTGTCTTGACTGTACAGACCCAGTCTTAAAAAACAATTCCAAATGAGTTGCTGTAGGTTGACATAACTTTGTATATTTTAAGTGAATAATTAAGAACCACATTTTGGTGAAATAAAAACAATGCAGAGGATCTCATTTGGAGAGTTATTTCAAAGTCAATTTATTAAAAGAATATCATGCGTTTCCATTTGGGGCCAGCATTCAGCAATATTAAGAAAGGAAACATGTTTTCATTGATATTCTCTTTTTCTTTTTATTGTTCTGTTCTGGAGTGGCCTACTCTATCCCTAATTTTAAATGCTCCAACCTTGGTACCTAGAAGGATAGACCCTCGTTTCCTCCTTCCATCCCACTTCCATTGTCCTTAAAATTGTGCATCCTATTTCTCAGCATTTAGAGCATCTGATAAAAAGAGTCTAGATTCACAGGAGAAGGCCACAGAGTTTTGTTTCTCTTACCTTTTCAGCCAGGCCTCCCCTCTTCCTCTGAGTAGAATTTTACTAAGGTCGCTCAGCAGGCAGGATCCATAAGAACAGACAAATATTGAGGACTTCAGTCTCGAGTGAGGCAAATAGAAAGATATATTTTATGGTGGAAAGTGTGTTTTATTACTTGTTGGCTCTGCTGTTGGTATTTAAGCACAGAATTTCTGACACCACCTTATAGAAAGGGTTCATCAAAGAGATGTGCCCAATGCTTTAAGATATTCCTGAAGAGATATTCACATTTCTCGTAATAGATGTAAATTACTAGCATTATATCTTCAGACAATTTTGGTACTCCCACAACCTTAGAAAATATTTAACATAATCAATTGCTTTATGTTTGAAAAATAGATGGACTTGAAAAACATTATGCTAAGTGAAATAAGCCAGTCAGAGAATGACAAATACCATATGATTTTACTCATATGTGCAATCTAATGAACAAACTAAATTAACAAGCAAAAGAGAGAGGCTCATAGGTAGAAAGCAAGCTCATAGCTCTGGGGGTAGGGGGTTAGAGGGTGGAGGGGTTGAGCAAAAACAAAAAATGACTCATGGACACAGACAGTGTGGTGATTTCTAAGGGGTGGGTGGAATTGCAAAAGAGGGTAAATGAGGATAAATGATAATGGAAAAAATACAATGATAAAAAATTATTTAAAAAATAATTTACTGTCCTAAATTTAAGTCTTTGAGTAACAGAGGCATATATTTTTTGCTCGGCAAAATAATTGTTATAATGCAATACTTTAAAATGTACTTATAAATATTCTCAATTTCAATTTGCAGTTGACTATTGCAAAATATTTTTAAAAAAATAGTTAAAATCAGCCTAGGCAATAAAGATAGGCAACGATTTATACAACTGAAAAATCCAAGGAAAGCAGAGTCAGGCAGGGCTGGATCTAAGGGTTCACACATACTTATCAGGATAAAGTTTTCTTTTCATTATTCTTTAGCTCTTTTTTCACTGTGCTAATAGAGTTTTTGGCAGAAACTCACACTAAATTGACAAAATCTTTAGCTTTACATCTGACCCTTCCAGCAAACTCTGTTGCAAAAGAGTATCTTTCCTTTGTCACAACAAAGATCTCAAATTGAGATCTGATTGGACCGAATTGTGTCATGTGACCATAGCTGAGCTATCATTGATTCTGGAAGACACCCTAAGTGATCAGATCCGCCCTAGGTCACAGGCCCATTCTTGCCCTGAGGAGTCACCTGCCCTTGCAAAACATGGACTCTTACCTGAAAAGAGGAGCCCCCACTTCACAGAAACTAAAATGTTTTTCCCAGAAGAAAGGTGACTTTATAAGAAAAGCCACAGAACTCTACAAAACAGCCACATGCAGTCACATTTAAAAACATCACTTACTCAAATTGTCCAAATTCTGTAATCAGAAAGAAATATAGTAGCAATTTAAAAGTAGGTTTGAATGGCACAAGTGTTTCAATTAAATGAAAATAAAAATATTTTTAACCAGCTACTTCATGTATGAACTACCTCCCCACAGTATCTTCTGTATCATTGTTATATTTATTACTGTAGCAGAAATAAAATTTGCTACATATGATCAAAAGATACAAGAAATACTCTATTAGGGTTCAGAGAAATTCATCTAGCATTTATTACCAGGTAATAAACTAGAGAATTTCACAGGTGTTGCATCATTTGATCATATATCCTATTAGAAAACTCAGGATTGTTTTGGAAAAAATCTTTGGAGTAGTTTTCAGACAAAGCTAGGACTGAGGAGATGAGAAACCTTCCAAGTGACACAAAGGGACTGTGTCAAGGCACAAAAACATGAAGGAATATCAGAAATTGTTAAGAAAGAGTGGGTTGTCTAGTTTTGTCAGGTCGAAGTATGGTGGTAGAAGGTGAGGACAGAAAGCGAGTTTGAGATCCTAATAGAGTGGACTGGCTGAACAGATTGTGACTAAGGATTATGAATAGTAGCGGGGCTGTTGAGCAGGGAAAATGCCTATTTGAATATCCACATTTTGTTTCTCAATGGGTTGTCTAGCATCAGGATATTGTTGCTTCTTCCATATACCTTATTGCACCAAATGCTTCAGGGTGGCTTATAGAACCGATTGCAGTCAGTGGAGGGAGGTATTCCAGTAAGCTCTACTCCTCAGGGAGCTTTAAGTTCTTATACAGGCTGCGGGGACAATCATTCTTTTTCATTTTTTGAAAGTCATCTCTATATTTATGTTTTGCTTGTAATTAATTTGAGAATAGATAATAGATTGAGGTTCAAAATTAAAATAAAAACTAAATATTAAGACTTTTAGAGAAAAATTTTCTCACTTATTTTTACATAACTGATTCAACCTCACCTTGACAGAACAGACAAGTACATTTTTTAAGCCTTTACATTTCCTGTGTACACATACATGTGTTATACATATCTTCTTTTATTATATATTGAGGGTAGCATAGTATACGTTTTCCTTTTTTATTTAACAAAACAATGGATAAATTTTCATAATAAAAATAAGAAACTATCTAATTCTCTTATATTTTTATAGCTGCACAGTATTCCACTGTATAGAGATATCATACATAATTCCATCAGTCTCTTATTAAAAGTGTCGTGGGTGTTTTCAATTTTTTTGCTAACACAATGAATGTTTTCATGTAACTATGAATATTTGAAAACATATCTATGGAATGAATTCTCAGAAATATGATTTACTTAAAGACCAGGAGATAAAATA